GATACATTTTCTCCTCTCTATCTTATTTTCGTTCAGCGGACCTCCAGTCTTCTTCGCTTAGGCCATGTCGCTTCCGCACTACACATTTGCGAGCAACAGCTGTACGTCGCTTTGGAGGCAGTATGCGCTGCACAGGAATCGAACTCGTATTGCCAAATCCACGACGGCCCAAACGCAACCTCTGAACAGGTTATCAAGGCTCTAGCATCCTTTCAACAAATACGCACCTACTTACTAGATGTACTTAAAACGATATTCCTTCCAGGTAGGACGCTTCTGTAAAATTGGGCCACCAAAATAGTACCTTTCTTTCATTTTAATTAAGTTAATTTTGGATACATGCATCTTATCAGTCCCGTCCTCCTTTACTGTCTGTTCTTATTTCCTTCATTCCAGTGACTTATAATGCACTTGCTAGTGATAGTGTTTCTGGCTAATAAACATCATTCTCTCAATATAAAATCATATTTTATCATGCTAACAGCCATTCTGATGGCCGTTATTTCATGTGAATCCAGAGTCGACAATTCTCCAGATATTTATTTTTAATGGACATTGTAGATCAAATTTCTTATCTAGGTTGAATAATTTGATGCCGATGCTAGTGCTGTATAACTGTGCCACTTGCTCACTTTTTTCTCTTTAAGCTTATATATAATACTCAAAATTAACGTTTGCAGCCTTGACTTGCTTTTTTGTTTCCTACTACAGTTTCACGGAAAAATTTTAGGCACAAGTTATCACTAAAAGTAAGACAGTTGGATTTTTTTAAATAATTGACTTAACTGGGGAATAGGTGGGATATGTCCTCGATTTGCAACTTTGTCGTGTTGTCAAGACGGCCTAGTTAGAGGCACCTAACCGAGGTTCTCTGCCTTAGTAGTTATGTTTATTCCCAGCGTTAGGCTATAGTGGCAGAATACCTTGGACAAGGTGAGCCTAGCTAGGTCAACCTGACAACACGACCAATTTGTCAAAACGAGATGAGATCATCTCTACACATCGAAAGCAGAATTCAACCAAAATGGAGGCCACTACATTTTGCCCTGTGTAATATTGCAAAAGGGAGGTACTTTCTATTTCTGATTTTTTCTTTTTTTACTTGAATTTGCTTTAGTGACAGATATAAATTCACATATTTCAGAGTATTACTATAAATGTCTCTAATGGTATCACATCTAACCAGCGTTCCTTGGCAAAGCGATAATTGAATTATTAAGTGATGTATATTATTGAGAACTTTGTTCTAGGGCTGATTTTCATTATCGAATACTATATTTAATTTTTATGTTTTTTGGGCTCTTATCTGCCAGCACTTAATTATAAAGTGCCGAAAGTTTGCTGGATTAACTATTACCCGAACTAAGGTATAACAAAATGATGTGGCATCTATTTTGGTCACAATCCCCTTTCGCTGTATAGTAGTGGGTTGGCCTGATTCTCGAAACTTGGTCGTGATAAGCTCACCTTGTAAGAAATCCTTTGCCATATGAGTCGGACTATGGGCTTTGTAGATTTGGCCATTAAATTATGGGTCATTTATGAAACGAGGCGAGCCTTTTTATTATACATCTATAATGGGGATAAGTCGAGAAGGTAAAATGCCTTTTCTATTGAAACTTGGTTCTATTATTTTCATTTCATTGCTCTGCACTATAGTTTGATTCCTTTAGGCCTGAGGATCAGACCTTGGCTAGTTGCTTGAACACGTTTTCGCAAGATGTTTGTGTCGTCAGGAGACCTTAGTTGGAAGCTCCCTTTCCGAAATCTTGTGCTATGCTAACTATAATTCCTAGTGCTAGTCAGCGGACTTAGTGCATTCCAAGACGTTTTGCAGGCATCTTAGTTAGCATCCTCAGGCAATCTTGCAATTCCTAGCACCAAGCTACAAGTCATGAGAGAGATAAATGAAATAAATCTCTTGATCAACTTTCTTCCTAACGGTTGTGCAATCACTTCTCTATCTTTCTTGGCACATCTACCTACTCCATATCCCCGTGTCTCACTTCCGCTCTATCACAACTTGTGACTTGTTTATATTAGACCCCTCTAGAGTTGCGCTATTTGTGG